CCCCGCGGACACCCTGTAAATACATTTGATCGGCTTCAGCAGTGGAAACACGGCACCCGAGTAGTAGCTAATAGTCGTCCCTCTTCCACGGGATGCTATGATGCATTTTGTAGTGAATATATAATAAATAAATTCAACCTAGATTTGGAAGATTATTGGAATCCAAACATACAAAAGGAGTTAATAGTAACATCTGCATAAGCGTATTATGATTGTCTGAAAAAGGCTTACATTTCTCTCTCTGCCCTCCCTTATCCAGTTTCTCTTCCCTCCCTTCTTCTACCTACTTGTTGTTACATCTGTACTTTTTCCTTCCACAATAAAGTAGTGGAGAGTAGATACTTACTTTATGCTGAATATTGGTGCATTTTCAACAATTGATGGTTTGTGGAGTGAGGAGCCCGTATGTTTTCTTTAAGCCTGTCTTGCATATCAGGCATGTTGGAGTAATTAGGAATTCAAAAGGTTTCCATTCATAAACTTTTGCACAGTTACATTTTTGAACTCAAGCCAGGCTCTGAAAAACTGAGACAAAGACAGCATTTCCTCTGAGATCAAACTCAACAGAAAAGTTATTGTGCAGAATCATAGATTTTACATTTTCCTGAACTGAAAGTATTCTGAGAGTATGGTATCATCACAGACTTATCTTTTACATCTCTCTGCGAGTGAGGAGAAATCTTGTTGGGCATGTTCTGCAGCTGAGGCATGTTGTAGCAGGCGTGTATTTCAGTTTCCTGATGCAGCTGATTCTAGGTTTTGTTTTAGAGGAATCCATTTCTGTTACATGCTCCAACCTACTAATAATCTATCGACTAATCTTGTCCAACTGTAGAGTAGACCTCCCGCTCAACTCTGCACACTGAGAATACTAAACATTAATATATGCAGGAGCTTTACACAGATGGTATTTTATGAAAGCGTATATCTGCATTTTTAAGTACATACTACTGGTTACTCTTTAAAAAAAATATATAATTCTGGCATTGGCCCTTGTCTCGCTGAAACTATATACAACACATTTAAAAATCTACAGTTTAAAAGACTTGAACTAAGAGCAAATGAGTTCAGGAAATGTCAATCAAGAAGAGAAGTGATAGTCAGGCAGAAATAATTGAGGCTGAGAGAGCGAGAACAAGACACAGAGGAGCAGGTCTATAGAGGAGTGTGTGTGTGTGTGTGTGTGTGTGTGTGTGTGTGTGTGTGTGTGTGTGTGTGTGTGTGTGTGTGTGTGTGTGTGTGTGTGTGTGTGTGTGTGTGTGTGTGTGTGTTTTATGGGCTAACATGTGTGTGTGTGTAATGGTCTAAATGCAGCTAGGGGCTGATGCAGCATAACAATAAGTTCCCACACACACACTCACAGGCAGGCAGGCTTGTAAGTGCACAAAAACACATTAGATTATCATGGTACCATAACCGTCAACTGTAATATGTCTCAGTAATGCG